AGGGAGGTACATTGTGTCCATATAAAGTGGTCGGGTCAGTGATGACTAAGCCAAAACAATCCCCTGCTGCAACACACACACACACAAACACACACACACACACACACACACAAACTTACTCATGCTCCACCTCTTGCTGTCCCCTCCTCGTCTCTCCGGAGCTTCACAGATATATGGCTTACCGTAATGCGAGGTGGCAATGACTCATTGTGTGTGTGTTTGCATTGCGTGTGTGTGTGTGTGTGTGTGTGTGTGAGTGTTGCAGCAGAGGATTGTCTAGACAAGTGTGTGTGTGTGTGTGTGTGGCAACATCAGCCCATTCTCTCCCACACTCCTCCTCTGTCTCCCTCCTCGTATGAGGTGTGTTTTGCGAGCATCTGGTTGAGAAGAAGTGTGAGGGAGGAGTGTGTCCTATTTTGCCAAAACCTCTGAGCCGCTGTTGAACACAGAACATCTGGATCAGGGAGGAACACTGTGTGAGTGTGTGTGAAAGGGAGGGAGAGTGCCAAACATATCAATCAGACTCACATCTGGCTCGCACAAACCGCAGCTGGACACACATGAGTTCATGCAGTCTTAACACAGATTATATGGAGTGAATACATAATGACATTTTAATTTTCTAACACTTTGAATACAAGCTAATAACCTAATATTAATGATATAGAACAAACACACTCACACACACACACATACATGTGCACACACACCAGTTTGTTAATGACAATTGCCCCAACCTAGTAACAGTTAAAACTTAACAAGCTGAAGCAAAATGTTCACATTTTTCCCCCACATTTTATTAGTCTCTACGCGTAGGCGAACTTTTCATGCTAAATTCACCCCTGTGAAACCCATTTCCTCACATTCACATCGGCGGAGCTGCAGACATTTAGCTTCGGGCCTGTTTTTGCATCCCTGGTCTCATCAGTTGGACGAGAGCAGAGAGATGTGGTGTATAAACACTAGTGAAGAGGAAGAATAGGGCTGGACCGGGGGAAGGAAGCGGCGATGAAGGGAGGTCACCTTGGGTGAACAGCGACATAACATCATATGATCGTAAGTCGTCTCTCCTGCCATCCCCTCTGCAACAATACATTCCAGATGGCTGCTAAGTCAAACACTGGCTGGGGAACAACTATGTGTTTTTTGGCACCGGGCCTCCTGTTTGTATAGTCTACGGTGAAGTGCTTATGCGTTTTTCGTGGGTTTATGACGAGAGATTTCATTTGTGCAGTTGATTTATAGATTTATTTTGATGTTTCGCATCCTCGCCTGCCGACCAGCCCATCGCCTTTTTCTCTTGTCTTTTTTCCTTCATGCAGATGGTTCTTGTTGTATGGGGTGAGGTCACAGCTATGCAAGGCCTTTGCATGTTGCATGCTGGGTAATGTCTCCACCCTAATGTGTCTCTACAGACTCCATCAAAGAGCATTTACTACCAGATTTCAGTTCATTTCCCACTGTGCTGCAAGAGTTGTTTTCACTTGTGTTTTCACTGCAGTCTGGTTTGGATCATATTTTTATGTCCTGTCGGCGTGATACATGTGGGTTTCATGTCGTCTGTGTAATTGTGCTTAGACACACTGTTGTGTGCACAAAAACTCAAAACGGCAAATAAGAGACACTGTTTTCACAGGTTTCCACCCACATTTTCTACACAAATGCATTCTCATAAAGAAAAGTCTTTGTTTTTTTACTAATTAATCCATGAAAGGAATAGTTAAACCTTTTTGAGAAACCAGTAAAATTAACTAAATCCATCTCCTCTAAACCAGCACCTCCAGAGATCTCTAATCATCATTGTATTTTGCTTGTGTTGTCGGTACAAAAACACTAAAGAAAAAGTAAATTTACCATTTTTACAAGGAGTAAAGCCACCAGACTACTTCTAACTTCCTGGAGTCTCCAGTAGCAACTGTTCAGCACTAAAAAATAGTATAGTGCATAATTCAACAAACAAGTCTCAGTATGACTGTAGGTGGATTGTTTTTTTTTTTGTTTTTTTTTTTGTTTTTAAAACCTTTGGACAGATCTCTTTTAGCTCTTCCTCCCTGTTTATGCTGAGCTAAGTGAACCAGCTGCTGGCTGTACCTTCATGTTTCACCTCACTCTCTGCAAGAAAGTATATCTCCCAAAATGTCAAACCTTTTATTATAAGATTCAGAGTTTATATTAAAAATTCCCATGTGTCATCTCACGTATTTTTCCTGTTGTTAGCTGATTAATTCATTACTCTGCTTAAACTGGCTTTTGCCCATCACCTGTTTTATCTCTCTAGTCTTTTCCCACTGAATCTGCTCTCACTTCATTTAAAACCTTTGGAAACTTTGATGTTGCCACTCGAGTTAAAATGGGAGTTGGACTCCGCAGCAAAGTTAATGACTTCATTAGCAAAACTGTTTAAGTTTAATATATGGTAGTAATTATAATAGGAACATTTAGCACAAATCCCCTTTTGTAAGATAAAGTTGCGGTGAATGTGTTTCATAAATGTTTTAACTTTGGTTACTTAGATAAAGTTGCTTTTCAGGTCTTTGGATCAATAGTTCAAAGTTGCATATATTAAAGCAAAGAGGAATATTTTTTATCCCTATAACATGACTAAATAAATACCTGTGTATCTGTGAAGTGCTGGGGTGTTTGGTTGACATTTCTTGAATAGCCAAAGTATTTACAACTATATAATTTTTTATTTTTTATTTTTCGGACACATTTCAGTGTGTGACCTCTCCTTTTTCTTTTCTCTTGCTTCTGGTTTTATCTGTATTATTACCAGTTTGTTGTCCCCCCACATCCACATTTCCAATTTATTACACGACTTTAAGAACGGGATCATTTGGTGGGTTGAGACATTAATTTTCTCACCTCGTTTCTTCATTCCTCCACTTCTTTCAGTGGTTTTTCTCTTGCATCTTTTCTGTGTCTTTCCCCTGTGGCCTGGTATTAGATGCCAGTCCTATTCGCTCACTCCTCCTCCTCACCCGCTGTCCCAAACCATATGAGGGCAGTTACAGAGCATCTTGTATTCCCTAACCGGCACCTCCATTCCCCCACCCTGTCCCCATAACGCCCCCCTCCACCACCTCGTTGGGTATTACGCACAAGCCTGCTTTCACCCCTATGCACACACACACACACACACACACACACACACACACACACACACACACGTTCATCACACCTGCCTCAGCAGTACTTGTGCCAGCCAGGTGCCAGTCATTTGGCGCTTTGCCCAGAAATGACTGGCAAAAGCCTCGACATGTGTGCAAATCTAGCTGCAGAGGGGCTTGGATATATTTGTGTGTGTGTGTGTGTGTGTATGTGTGTGTGTGTGTGTGTGTATGTGTGTGTGTGTGTGTGTGTATGTGTGTGTGTGTGTGTGTGTATGTGTGTGTGTGTGTGTGTGTATGTGTGTGTGTGTGTGTGTGCCTACTCTTGGCAGAGGACACATGCGTCACATGCCAGGAATGAGTAAGGCCACTCGAGCTGCTGCATTTGAATTCTCCGCGTTACACACACATCTGAGCGTGTGTGTGAGATGCACAAGAACGTCTAATTGCACACGCTTCCGGCACACCAGCCTTTGCCACCAATTACCAGCAACACAGCTGTGATTATGAGAAGTGATGAGGCTGTGTGTGTATATATATATTAGCATTTAAACACCGACCTGTGTGTAGAAGAGCAGAGAGAAGATTTCTTCTTCAGGATACAGTACGCTGTTGTACATACTGTGTGGAGATGACATGTCTTCAGTGTAATATTTGTGCGCTTTCGCGCCCGCCTAAAGCCAGGATGCTGAGTTATGGAGAAACCAGACGGTAAGAGAATAACACAAGTGTAGTCTTTAGTCAGATTAACCCAAGAGAAATGGAAGAATAAAAGCAGAGAGGGAAAATGTTACATAAATATTTCTTTGATCCCTCCACAGTTTTTATTTAATTTCTTAACAGTTTGCGCTGATGCTGTATTTAAAAGACTTTTGCACCGGCTCTGATGTGTGTCTGGTCCCTGGTGTGTCTAGTGGTTGGATTAAATATTGTGGATATAGGAACTGAAGCTCGCCGGTGCCTTTCTCATCAGATCAAAGTGCCTTAAATATAAAGAACATGACCAGAGAGAAAATCGCTGAGTTTGCACAGAGACTGAGGACGGAGGAAAACAGGAGAAAGAGGGGCCTTAAAGTCAGATTCAAAGTTTTTGAAGTATAGGTAATATGGAGCTGGGTGTGCAGTTAATTCAGTCTTGTTAAGCAGGGAGGAGGCACATGAGGAGAGATGTTTTTATTGTACTTCACATCTTCTGTTGAGGGTGGATGTGACTTTGGAGGAATGAAAACAGTGATTATCATTTTTAAGCAGGTCATGTTTTGATGGCGTCACGTTTCATTATGCTGGGAAATTAACATCGCTAAACAGGCCAGCGGGCTGAATGGTCTAATTAAGCAGCAGAGAGAGAGGACTGTGGGTATTCAGAGGACTGGAGTGTGTGTGTGTGTGTGTGTGTGTGTGTGTGTGTGTGTGTGTGTGTGTGTGTGTGTGTGTGCTGATCAGTATTCACTCAGCATTCCTGATGTTTCTTGGAGAGATGAAAGCAAGCTCTATGCTTTGTCTTCATTAATGTTCACGTTCTACCTGTGTGATTTGTGCACTCTGTGTCTGAATGGAGAATCAATGGAGCATCATGGCAGGAAGTGTTTATGACACTCACGCTCTGACTGCCTTGTTAGGGATGATTACTGCATAATGAGCTTGAGCTGATCAATGAAATCGATCCCGCTTTGCTCATAATCCTGCATGAAACACATGATGACAGTTACAGTTTCTGGACAAACCTCTCAAGTGTTGTAACTTCTGCACTTTATTAACTATTAATGAGTCTTACTGTTAAATTGAGAGTTATTTGATTGCGATGACGCATTTCAGTGAATTGAAGACCTCAAAATCAGCCTTTGAGAATTTAATGGAGAATTAAACCAGTGTCCTTGTTTGTGTCTGCAGTACCAGGGAGCACGTGACCCCGGAGATGAACAAGCTTCGTCAGAGCCTGAGGAGGAAGAAGCCCACCTACGTGCCAGAGGCCAGCAGGCCGCATCAGTGGCAGGCTGACGAGGAGGCTGTACGCAAGGGCAAATGTAACTTCCCGGTTCGGGTGAGTTTCAAAAACCCGGTCCGGTACTGATCCATTCAACATACTGTATAAAAAAAAAATATTTTGAGATAAACTCACAACATATTTCCAATATAACCATGATAAATTGTAGCATTCGGTCAATGAAAAGGTGTATGTAGAAATGAGTGTATGACATGTTGACTAGAGTTTGGGTGAGGAGTTGAACTGTGCTCTGTTTACCTCGACTAAACAAATCAGAGGGCAAATGAAAGTTTCCCGGTTTGGAAACTGGACCACGGCACATTCACCATAGCTCATGTCAGCTCCAGTATAAGGACGCTCACCAGCAACAGGTGCACTGGATCCTCATTTATTCAGCAGCTTATCCTTGAACATCACAGGAGCAGAGCAGAAGCAGCTTGTGTACAAGGCTGTTAAGATGCTCTATTTACAACTCATACATGTAGGTTTGTTGTACAGCATAAATGTAACATTCAAAAACTTTCTTTTATCTCTTTGGAGTCATTTTCTGGGATTAGTTTTACCTGTATGTTAATAGTGTTTGGTATATTGTGTTCTTCTTGAGGGAATACATAGTTAAGCATTTTGCACTTATTCCTGGTAGCCTTGTTGCCAGACAAGCTGTTTCCAATCTTTATGCTAAGCTACATTAACCAGTTGCTGACTGTAGCTTCATATTTAGTGCACAGACATTAGAGTGATATGAATCGTCAGAGAGCAAACACAAGTATTTTTTCAATACAGTTTCTTACAAAACACACACGAGAAAGCTGGTTTGATTTTGGAGTTTTTATGGGGCTGTGATAAAGATATTAGCATTTTAATGTCCATCTTGACATTAGCATACTGCACCTACAAACTCCGAATCAACATGGATTAGAAAAATTGATGGACTATATTAAAAATGCCAGAGTTTGGTGTGTTTTATTCATAATAGGGATAAACTGCAAGCAAGTTTATGGTTAACAAGAAAACAAGATTTTTTTTTTTTTTGGCAACATGGGAACCGAAGCTCATGCTGTTGATAGCCTCGTGCCAAATAAAAGAAAATATCTTGATATTATTAGGGCTGAAGATTATTAAATCCTCATAGGAACCATGTGGTATTTTGCCTTTGAGCAAAGCACAAACTCATATTTTAGCTCTCAGCTGAATGCCACACATGCAATAAATACAGAAGAGAGCATTATTAATGGCCCAATTTCCTGATAATAACCCTGGGTCTTGTCTAGTGTATGTCGCTGAAAGCCGAGGAGATTTGTTGACGGGATGGGGGGACAGTGGCAACAAGAGATGGAGGGCAGAGATGGAGGGATGACAACGAGGTGTAGTTATAGATTACGGAGACCACAGGAAATGACAGGGTGAGGGATGAGGGCACACAGGGGGGTGGGGGGGT